GGGGGGGGGGGGGGGGTAGGTGGGCAGTTTCCTAGAAGCGTATGATGATTCCTAGTGGATCATTATACGCGTCTTTACCTCTCCCGGTGGTGTTTGGCCAAATGCTTCGTCTACTACGTCAGCAGGTACAGACATGACGTCATCTTCTGTCAGAACACCATCCTGGTCTTTGTCGAGCATTGCAAACCGCTAGGAGAGAATAGGGGACTTAAGCAACGGCAACGGCAGCGAAAACGTCACCCAAAAAGCAAATTTGCGCTGCTCCAAACTTTATCGCTCTTATTCCAACTCTTTTAATTTGTCAAATGTTGGCGATTTTTTTCAGGGGTTGAATTATAAACGACTGTATCTAAATTCACAAAAAGAAAAAGAAAATGGTTGTCATGTGTTCCCGTCCTCCATAAAACTGACGTGAAATTAGGAAGTTTGACGTCGCAGTATTGCAGTGACGGCAAGAAATGTACAAAAAAGCGTGATACACGTGCAAAGTTGTTGTTTTGCCAGTCTAAACCTATTACTTTTTTTTCCGTTCTCGCTGCAGTCGGCCCGTGACCGTCGTCGTTACTTAAGCTCCCTAATACAAAACCAAAACGTAAACAACCTAAAATTGGCTTGGTATAAGTTTGATCGCTTAGTCGGTTCGGTTCAGAATCTGGTTTTACAACAAATATCTCAAACCGAATGTTCTGTGCGTTTTCCTCAATACTTTTACTATCACGGACGTTTGAATTCATAAAACGGAGAAAGTCGAAAAAGTAAAACAGGCTTAATGAGCGAGACAATAACACTGCACGTGGAGCACACTTTCTTGTACATTTCTTGACGATACCGCATGACTTCCACGTCAAATTTCCTAATATGTCACGTTTATGGGAGACGTAAACACAAGACGACGACTCTCTTTCTCTTTTACTTAACTTGGATATAGTCCTAGGGCAGACTATGTAGGAAATCACCCCGAGGAAAATTCGCTAACATTTAACCAGTTGAAAGAGGTACTAAATATTAGTGAAACTGAGTGAATAAAAGTGGCGTTTTCGCTGCCGTCGTCGTCGAAGTTTGAAAACTTTAATAACCTAGAGAAATTGATTACCTTTTGGGTTATGAGTCTCTCTCCTGTATGTTCTCCCTTGAAAAATTAAAAAAATAGAAGGTTACAAAGCAGAAAAGACGACTGACAACACGAAAAGCCGCATTGCAAATGTTGAGATGTGTACGTAACCTGAGAAAACAGCGCGTCTTCACGCGAAATAGAGTTTGCTATGAGCGCAAAAATTCCATACTGATGACGTGTCACTACCCGTAGTGCTTCTCATTGTTTGCGGAAGAAAATTTCCCAGGCGGCACGACCAATCAAAAGCACTACCCAGATCTGGGTAGTGACACGTCATCAGTATGGAATTTCTGCGCTCGCTTCGCGGGGAAACCAGTTGTGGCGTCGAGAAGTGTCGGCTGTTTTCTCAAGCTAAAACATATAGGAAGTGTTTAATTTGCTAAGGCACGGAATTGAAAAGTCTGAAAACGGTCGTAATAGCAGTGATCCTAGGTATATATAACATTAAGTGCATTTGGCTGTACTACAAGTTAGTTTCTCACCACAATTAATGGATTTATCGTCTCAAAAGAAACAGATCCACCATTGTCTTTGATAACTTGAAGAGCCATGAACCTTCAAAGTATACAAATAAATCAACGATTAAAATAGTGGTCTGTTATAAGAAAACTGAAACGCTACTTTGCCTCAGTCTCCTAAGAACCACGACTCACACATCATGGCATGGCCGCCTCTATAAATGTGTTTAACCATAAAAACCCTACTTGAAAGTAGTGTTCCTGTTTCGCACAAAATCGAGTTCTTAAAACAGTTTCCCGCCATTTTTACTTCCCGCTCCACCAGACGTCCTTGCTCCTACGACGTCATCAGGCAAAAAACCAATAGTCCAGTTTCGAATTCGTCGTAGCTGCTGAATAAAAGCGTCGAAGACTTATTGGTACAGGGTTAGCCTCGACCTAAATTAACATATTCACAAATACCGGCGAGAAGGTGCCTGAAGTAGAGTTAAAAACAAAAGACACAGCTGTACACACTGGGTCTTCTTCTGACGGGAATTTGTGAATATATTTACCTTAGGTCGAGGCTAACCCTGTATAAATGAGTCTCAAGTGTTTCTTTCGGCGGCCGCGACGAATTCGAAACTGGACTATTGAAAAACCTCGTATTGAGGGTTCTTTCTTTCATCTTCTTCGTCAATACTTATTTTGATGAGTGGGCGTAGATGACGAAAAAAAGACCCCTCTAGATACTAAATTGCATCCAAAATCGCTCTGACCTTCAGATTTGGAGTAAATCAAGATTTTTTGAGGTGCTCTTACAAAATAAAACTGCTCGAAAATCTTCCTCTCCCATTTGGAAAAGAATCTAGATGTAACACTTTACATCTTGGCAAGTAGTCGATTCATACCTTAATTGCTCTCCTGTTGTAAATTTGAAGTTACTCAAGTTTGCCTGAGATGAACCCAAATTTTCTAAATTAACTGTAAACACAAGCAACATTAGTATGAAATCAATTTGCCGACAGCGCTGGCTAAGGCCTTCATTTTCTTTCACAACTAAAATGAGATGCACAAGTGCAACAAAGAGTTTCGTTAAATAGAAAACTTCGGCAAGTTTTAGTTGCCTCCAGTTAAAACACAAAACGTCGTTTCTTCATCAGTCACCCTCCAGGTGAGGTCTCATACCGAGGCGTTTATTTAGGCCCGTAAAATCAACATTTGAGCAAAATTGTCCATCGACACAAATCGACATTCTATATCACTCAATATCAAGAACACACAAATATGAGACAAACTGTTAATGATACATTTATATTCGCTAAACTACTTTTCACTCATGTGTTTGTAATTTTTTATCTCTTCGGAAAGATACCTTCACAATCAGTAGAATTAAATCTCTGAAGCGGGGTCCACCAAATATTGACGGCGATGTTACGAAAGAGTGACGTAACTTGATGACCCCATCTGCAAGGAAAAGCGATTTGGAAAATTATTTCAGCATATCCTTACAAAGTCTCTAATAGGCCATTGAGCAACTAGGTGAACTACAGGTAAAGCAGGAAGTCTACTGGGAAAGCGACGACAACGAGCCGCTGTACTCATGTGGATTTACGAAAACGGGAGTTTTTGAAAAAACGATTACGTCACGGGCTCATATGCTAGTTAATGCGCATGCTCCCTTCAAAGATGGTACCGTTATCAAACCGTTATCAGTGGCTATTGCGTTTTGTGTGGATGAGCAAAAAATGATTCAAAACTGCAACGTGTGGACTCAGATATTTTAGAAAAGGGGGCGAAAAAGATCTCCGTTTTCAGACAAGAACGGATACGTGTGGACGGGGTCAAAGTTGAACAAAACATCACGTTTTTACATTTTACATTTTCTGGAGGTAGAGGTGTGGGATTGACGAGAGAAAACCTAGTATAACGTAGGCCATAAAATTTTTAGCGGATACGGATTGGTTATTCAGTGGAACCTTTACCCAGGGGACACCCTCAGGACCAAGGCACGTGCCCCCGGAATGGAGGTTAGGCTGGTGGTTAGTTAATAATAAACCAACAAATGATAAAAATATTTTTCTTTTATTCTACCTTGGAATCTTCTGCAGTCATTACACTTCATGTAGCCAGATAATGTATAAAAAATAATGATTAACTTATCTCTGCGATGTTGTGGGGTTAGTTCTCACAGGTGCAGTGCATCAATTTGAGTGAGACAGTTCATGTTTTGAAAGCTGTTGCCTTTTTGACTAGTAAATACTAAAACTTAACAACGATTTTTGTGGTCAGTCACTTTTTGAAGGCTCGCTGAATGGAGGTTAAATACGGGTTTCAGGACCCAGAAAACCTGCCCCTTTCTCCTAAAAAGAGGAGTCCCTTCAATGAATGGAGGTGTCCCTTCAATAGAGGTGACCAATATTGTGTCCCCTAAATGGAAGTGTTCCTTCAATAGAGGTGACCAATACTGTGTCCCCTAAATGGAAGTGTTCCTTCAATAGAGGTGACCTATACTGTGTCCCTTGAATACAGGTGTCCCTTCAATAGAGGTGACCAATACTGTGTCCCCTAAATGGAGGTGTCCCTTCAATAGAGGTGACATTTACTGTGTCCCCTGAATGGAGGTGTCCCTTCAATAGAGATGAAATATACTGTGTCCCTTGAAAGGAAGTGTCCCTTCAATAGAGGTGACATATACTGTGTCCCCTGAATGGAGGTGTCCCTTCAATAGAGGTGACATATACTGTGTCCCCTGAATGGAGGTGTCCCTTCAATAGAGGTGACCAATACTGTGTCCCTTGAATACAGGTGTCCCTTCAATAGAGGTGACCAATACTGTGTCCCCTAAATGGAGGTGTCCCTTCAATAGAGGTGACATTTACTGTGTCCCCTGAATGGAGGTGTCCCTTCAATAGAGATGAAATATACTGTGTCCCTTGAAAGGAAGTGTCCCTTCAATAGAGGTGACATATACTGTGTCCCCTGAATGGAGGTGTCCCTTCAATAGAGGTGACATATACTGTGTCCCCTGAATGGAGGTGTCCCTTCAATAGAGGTGACCAATACTGTGTCCCTTGAATACAGGTGTCCCTTCAATAGAGGTGACCAATACTGTGTCCCCTAAATGGAGGTGTCCCTTCAATAGAGGTGACATATACTGTGTCCCCTGAATGGAGGTGTCCCTTCAATAGAGGTGACCAATACTGTGTCCCTTGAATGCAGGTGTCCCTTCAATAGAGGTGACCAATACTGTGTCCCCTAAATGGAGGTGTCCCATCAATAGAGGTGACATATACTGTGTCCCCTGAATGGAGGTGTCCCTTCAATAGAGATGACCAATACTTTGTCCCTTGAATAGAGGTGTCCCTTCAATAGAGGTGACCGATACTGTGTCCCCTAAATGGAGGTGTCCCTTCAATAGAGGTGACATATACTGTGTCCCCTGAATGGAGGTGTCCCTTCAATAGAGGTGACCAATACTGTGTCCCTTGAATGCAGGTGTCCCTTCAATAGAGGTGACCAATACTGTGTCCCCTAAATGGAGGTGTCCCATCAATAGAGGTGACATATACTGTGTCCCCTGAATGGAGGTGTCCCTTCAATAGAGATGACCAATACTTTGTCCCTTGAATAGAGGTGTCCCTTCAATAGAGGTGACCGATACTGTGTCCCCTAAATGGAGGTGTCCCTTCAATAGAGGTGACATATACTGTGTCCCCTACCATAGTTGCTGTGATTTCACTCATTCACCCCCAAGCAAAAATGATGAAAAGAGCATTGTTTTGAGTTGTCCCTCCTTTATTAAATAAAGGAGGGACAACTCAAAACAATGAATAAATTTTATTCTCTTCAAACTTGACCCAACTCACCCATATGGTATAAACATACAGTCTCCATGTTCAAGACGTGCAAACCACCATGGTAGGTTCTGTAAGCTAGGATACTTGAACATGTCCACTTTGTCAACATTCACACTACAATAATCACCTTCTCCGTGATCCATGTCAATTAACTTGGTGTGTTCCTAGAAGTTACCAACAAAAGCAAAATTGCTATAGATCTTAAACAGAGTTGAACTCCCTTATATTGGCTTCAGTACTGTCTATATCCTGAGAAAACAGCCAATGTTTTGTGACAATACCACTGGTTTCCTCACAAAATGACATGATGTGTCACTACCCTAATCTGGGTAGCGCTTCTGAAGGGTTGAAAATTTGCTTCATCCATTCAGAAGCTCTACAAAGATCTGGGTAGTGCAGGGTTTTCATTAAGAACTCTAGTAGCAGGAGAAAGGTGTAACACTACAGGAGAAAATTTTTAAAGAGGCTCCACATCTGAGTAAAAAATAGTTATAGGCTATTGACCGTTAGCCAGAGAATTCTGCGTAGTAAATGGAGAATTCTCCAATCTCCGATGCCTAATGAACACCCTGGTAGTGATGCATCATCAGCATGGAATTTTTGTGCTTGTTCCTCAGATGTCATGTCAAGGAAACCAGTGGTGGTGTCACACAATGTTGTCTGTTTTCTCAGACTTTACTATCCCTATAAACATCACATGTATAGGCTAGGTTCATACCAGATCCACTATGAACCACTGCTTGACTCCACTTATCATACAGTTAATATTATCTACTGTGTCCATATGAAGGAATGACTTGGAGCCTCCACTACTGTACCAGAGCACTGCATCCTATAAACCGAAAACAAAGGCACATGAAGCATGCAAAACACTTAGATCAGGAAACCTGAGTCCCTTCTTGAGGAAACATGCATCCAGACACAACTAGGGATTGAAGGAGGTCAAATTGACATATTCAATTTGCAAGAATCAAATCTTCATAAAAAAGTTCTTCATTCTTTAAGCCCTAATATCCACATACAAATTCTCCCTGCACACTCATCTCCATCTATTTTCTCAAAGATGTGTTTGAGAGAATTTGATAAAGGATCAAAGTATTTTCCCTTTGGAGATCATTTTATTAATTAGTTTAGCCTTTTCTGTTGATCAAGTATTAATATGGTTAGGAGAAAATTTATGAGAACAATAGGCCATTTGCACTAAGAGGTCATGTGACATCATTTTTATGAAAATGAAAGTTATATGATTTTACCTTCGAAAAACGATTAGTGGGTCATATCTTAAACAAAATAATGTTGATTTGGTTTTTTAAACCCACACCATTTTCTTAAAATGAATAAGTTCGTAAATGGTCACGTGACCAAAATGTGATTTTTAAAATTATGAATTACCTCTCTCTGAGCACAAATTTTGCACTTAAACTTCAAGGAAAATGTTGAAAAGATGATGTGAACCTTTGCGGCACATCTGAGCGTAACTATCAAACGTTGAACAAGATATAAGAAAAAAGTAGTTTTGGCCGCCATGTTGGAGGGCAAGAGCATGCTCCCCAACATGGCGGCCAATGCAAATTATACTACTTTGTTGAAAAATCAAAGTGCCATAAAATATCTCCCTTAAATACGTTTCCTCTCAAATTTCAGGTGTAAGATAATTTTTATGTGCTCTAACAATTTTTGGCATCAGCAAGATTCCAACTCATTGTTTAAAGGAAGCATTGCTCACGTGATCTCTTAGTGCAAGTGGCCTATTTAGGTTTCTGGGAAACTGACCACCTACCCCTCCCCTAAGCCAGCATTTTTCCCTAAGTAAGAAGTGATAATGTTGGTTTAGGAGAGGGGTAGGTGGGCAGTTTCCCAGAAACCTAAATTTATCCAATTTATGTTCATCACTCTTGGGACTTACCTGTAGTCTAGATGTAAATCCTCCACACAACAAACAGGATGGAAGTGAAAATTCAGGCCACATTTCTTCAGGAAGAGTATCTACCAAGTAACGATCAGAATCATTGTAGATTGATAAAAATTCTCTCAGTGCAATGTTATCAGCAGGCCGAGCTCTGTTCTCCTTTTTACCATAATCTACTCTCACAATAACATCTCCATACTTTTCCCTAACAAGTTATAAAAAAATTACACATGTTTTTGGTCAACTATGAATGATTCATAAGTTCTACACGACTGTTACCTTGTGAGGGTATTAGGAACATTTGACAGAGTCATTCTTAGGTCTTGTGTGAATTTTAGTTGCAAGCCAGGTGTTGAAGTTTGTCATAATGGATAAAGGGTTTACCTACATATCTTTGAAGCTAGATACCTCTGACGCTAAATGCAAAATATTGTTATTAGTATGCTGCGTCTTAGATACGGATTCTTTTAACTTACATTAGCATTAACAGGTGTTCATTAAAATTTTAGATTTCTTTTGTCCTTATTTTTTTTCCAAAAAAAAGGTTCATTTGCAAATATAACATGAAAAAATAAATAGAACTAACTAATAGCATCAATCTCATCAACCAAAAGTTAATGTTGAGCCACTTTTGAATAAAACAACTCATGAAAACGTGTATTACTATTTCAAATATTGTAACTTCATTTTTTAAATGAATATCAATTGAAGATGTAGGTTCAGTCTCGGACATCAATGTAAAAAAAGTGAAAACATACTGCTCAGGTATTAAAAGAAAACTTATACGCATAATAGAAAGAAGGCAAACGAATATTATTCTTCCTGAAAAGAGTGTCTTCCTTCTTAATTATCCACCTGAGATGAGAGGCAGGAAAAATGTATTATCCACTTTATTTTAATTTTTTATTTTCGGCTTTTAGACACATATTATGCAAATACTACTAAAAAAAAGCTGATCATTGGTAATTCTGCTTCGGATGGTTTTTGGGGTCAATATTTATAACAAAGTTCCCTAAGATTGAAAATTTAAAGTAATATTAAAGGCTCGTCGTGGGTATAAAAACTAAATCCGGGGCTTACCTCAAATAACTATCACTCCAAAGCTGAAATCCCGGAGATAGTTTGGCAGCTCCTTTTATACTGTGTCCCTTGAATGCAGGTGTCCCTTCAATAGAGGTGACCAATACTGTGTCCCCTAAATGGAGGTGTCCCATCAATAGAGGTGACATATACTGTGTCCCCTGAATGGAGGTGTCCCTTCAATAGAGATGACCAATACTTTGTCCCTTGAATAGAGGTGTCCCTTCAATAGAGGTGACCGATACTGTGTCCCCTAAATGGAGGTGTCCCTTCAATAGAGGTGACATATACTGTGTCCCCTACCATAGTTGCTGTGATTTCACTCATTCACCCCCAAGCAAAAATGATGAAAAGAGCATTGTTTTGAGTTGTCCCTCCTTTATTAAATAAAGGAGGGACAACTCAAAACAATGAATAAATTTTATTCTCTTCAAACTTGACCCAACTCACCCATATGGTATAAACATACAGTCTCCATGTTCAAGACGTGCAAACCACCATGGTAGGTTCTGTAAGCTAGGATACTTGAACATGTCCACTTTGTCAACATTCACACTACAATAATCACCTTCTCCGTGATCCATGTCAATTAACTTGGTGTGTTCCTAGAAGTTACCAACAAAAGCAAAATTGCTATAGATCTTAAACAGAGTTGAACTCCCTTATATTGGCTTCAGTACTGTCTATATCCTGAGAAAACAGCCAATGTTTTGTGACAATACCACTGGTTTCCTCACAAAATGACATGATGTGTCACTACCCTAATCTGGGTAGCGCTTCTGAAGGGTTGAAAATTTGCTTCATCCATTCAGAAGCTCTACAAAGATCTGGGTAGTGCAGGGTTTTCATTAAGAACTCTAGTAGCAGGAGAAAGGTGTAACACTACAGGAGAAAATTTTTAAAGAGGCTCCACATCTGAGTAAAAAATAGTTATAGGCTATTGACCGTTAGCCAGAGAATTCTGCGTAGTAAATGGAGAATTCTCCAATCTCCGATGCCTAATGAACACCCTGGTAGTGATGCATCATCAGCATGGAATTTTTGTGCTTGTTCCTCAGATGTCATGTCAAGGAAACCAGTGGTGGTGTCACACAATGTTGTCTGTTTTCTCAGACTTTACTATCCCTATAAACATCACATGTATAGGCTAGGTTCATACCAGATCCACTATGAACCACTGCTTGACTCCACTTATCATACAGTTAATATTATCTACTGTGTCCATATGAAGGAATGACTTGGAGCCTCCACTACTGTACCAGAGCACTGCATCCTATAAACCGAAAACAAAGGCACATGAAGCATGCAAAACACTTAGATCAGGAAACCTGAGTCCCTTCTTGAGGAAACATGCATCCAGACACAACTAGGGATTGAAGGAGGTCAAATTGACATATTCAATTTGCAAGAATCAAATCTTCATAAAAAAGTTCTTCATTCTTTAAGCCCTAATATCCACATACAAATTCTCCCTGCACACTCATCTCCATCTATTTTCTCAAAGATGTGTTTGAGAGAATTTGATAAAGGATCAAAGTATTTTCCCTTTGGAGATCATTTTATTAATTAGTTTAGCCTTTTCTGTTGATCAAGTATTAATATGGTTAGGAGAAAATTTATGAGAACAATAGGCCATTTGCACTAAGAGGTCATGTGACATCATTTTTATGAAAATGAAAGTTATATGATTTTACCTTCGAAAAACGATTAGTGGGTCATATCTTAAACAAAATAATGTTGATTTGGTTTTTTAAACCCACACCATTTTCTTAAAATGAATAAGTTCGTAAATGGTCACGTGACCAAAATGTGATTTTTAAAATTATGAATTACCTCTCTCTGAGCACAAATTTTGCACTTAAACTTCAAGGAAAATGTTGAAAAGATGATGTGAACCTTTGCGGCACATCTGAGCGTAACTATCAAACGTTGAACAAGATATAAGAAAAAAGTAGTTTTGGCCGCCATGTTGGAGGGCAAGAGCATGCTCCCCAACATGGCGGCCAATGCAAATTATACTACTTTGTTGAAAAATCAAAGTGCCATAAAATATCTCCCTTAAATACGTTTCCTCTCAAATTTCAGGTGTAAGATAATTTTTATGTGCTCTAACAATTTTTGGCATCAGCAAGATTCCAACTCATTGTTTAAAGGAAGCATTGCTCACGTGATCTCTTAGTGCAAGTGGCCTATTTAGGTTTCTGGGAAACTGACCACCTACCCCTCCCCTAAGCCAGCATTTTTCCCTAAGTAAGAAGTGATAATGTTGGTTTAGGAGAGGGGTAGGTGGGCAGTTTCCCAGAAACCTAAATTTATCCAATTTATGTTCATCACTCTTGGGACTTACCTGTAGTCTAGATGTAAATCCTCCACACAACAAACAGGATGGAAGTGAAAATTCAGGCCACATTTCTTCAGGAAGAGTATCTACCAAGTAACGATCAGAATCATTGTAGATTGATAAAAATTCTCTCAGTGCAATGTTATCAGCAGGCCGAGCTCTGTTCTCCTTTTTACCATAATCTACTCTCACAATAACATCTCCATACTTTTCCCTAACAAGTTATAAAAAAATTACACATGTTTTTGGTCAACTATGAATGATTCATAAGTTCTACACGACTGTTACCTTGTGAGGGTATTAGGAACATTTGACAGAGTCATTCTTAGGTCTTGTGTGAATTTTAGTTGCAAGCCAGGTGTTGAAGTTTGTCATAATGGATAAAGGGTTTACCTACATATCTTTGAAGCTAGATACCTCTGACGCTAAATGCAAAATATTGTTATTAGTATGCTGCGTCTTAGATACGGATTCTTTTAACTTACATTAGCATTAACAGGTGTTCATTAAAATTTTAGATTTCTTTTGTCCTTATTTTTTTTCCAAAAAAAAGGTTCATTTGCAAATATAACATGAAAAAATAAATAGAACTAACTAATAGCATCAATCTCATCAACCAAAAGTTAATGTTGAGCCACTTTTGAATAAAACAACTCATGAAAACGTGTATTACTATTTCAAATATTGTAACTTCATTTTTTAAATGAATATCAATTGAAGATGTAGGTTCAGTCTCGGACATCAATGTAAAAAAAGTGAAAACATACTGCTCAGGTATTAAAAGAAAACTTATACGCATAATAGAAAGAAGGCAAACGAATATTATTCTTCCTGAAAAGAGTGTCTTCCTTCTTAATTATCCACCTGAGATGAGAGGCAGGAAAAATGTATTATCCACTTTATTTTAATTTTTTATTTTCGGCTTTTAGACACATATTATGCAAATACTACTAAAAAAAAGCTGATCATTGGTAATTCTGCTTCGGATGGTTTTTGGGGTCAATATTTATAACAAAGTTCCCTAAGATTGAAAATTTAAAGTAATATTAAAGGCTCGTCGTGGGTATAAAAACTAAATCCGGGGCTTACCTCAAATAACTATCACTCCAAAGCTGAAATCCCGGAGATAGTTTGGCAGCTCCTTTAAATATAACCGGCTGTCCTTTCAAAACATATTCATTATAAAACTCTTGAGGAGTCGGTACATGTTCTACTGACTTGATAGCGCCTTCTGGCGGTCTGTGTGATCCCAGAGGTTGCAGATGACCAGTTGGAGATTCTTGCTTACAGAAAACAAAAAGTTGACACAGGAGGAGAAATCTAAACATACCGCTTGCAGCTTTGTTTAAAAGTGTATCGTACACGTATCGACTTTGATAATTGAGACATTTCACGTCTTTTGTCGCGTTTCCATGCTGATGAATGCAAAATCTGCCAGGCGTTCATCTCGTAGTCCCAGTGTCCACTCGGCTTTGTTTAACGGACGAAATTGAGTCTGGGGATGAGAGGCAAAATGGTGGATGAGCCAAGAGAAGAACACGTAGAATGTAACTCCAAAATGACCAACGTATGACAGTGAATATTCAAAATTTTTGATTTTGTTATATTTCTATGGATTATTTTCATCAAGAGGCTTAATAATCGTGAAAGTCTTTTTGAAGAAAGTGCATAATATGTCGGCCTGATGTCGGACGAAGATTCCAGTGACGACGAACTTTGCAAAAAGGACTTGGAAGAAAGGCTGGCAAACCAGCCGACGCCAGATGTCGTGGATTTCCTTCCCGCTTTCAAGGTTCCAAATGACGATGATCATGAGACTGATGGGAGAAGCGGTTTGCCAAAAATTAAGGAAGAGATTTCCGATCAAGAACTTATAGCGACACCGGAAGCCATGCTTTCAGCGTGTGAAAATGGAATAGTTGATCATGTACTACAAATATTAGAAAAAGAACCCACACTTCTTAACTGTAGAGATGAAGATGGCTATTCGCCGCTTCACAGAGCTTGTTATAATGGACATGCAGACGTGGTGAAAGTTCTTTTACAAAGGGGAGTGGATTTGCAAGCTAAAACCGAGGATGGATGGCAGCCTTTGCATTGCGCTTGCAGATGGGGTGAATAGGCCTTGTTAGTTTGGTTTCACTTTGTACCCACTTCAGACCAAAGGACAATCTTAAACACCATTCTTGTGGCGAATAGGGTTCACTTTGAAATTTACAGAGAAGCATCATGTTACATTGTCTGAAATGGGTAGATAAAGAGTATACCTAAGGCATTTTTTGGCTCAGCTGTGGCCAACTTAGTAGCTGTAGTAAGCCATTTTTAGTTAACATGTCAATGCAATTTCCCCCACCCCCACCACCCCTCTGACCTGAAAGGGGCAGTTTGTAGGTGCATAAATATTTGTGTAAGTGAAAGGTTCTTGTGACCCAGACTGGGTCATTGCAAAGACTGAAGAGGGAAGGGTGGAGTTCTGCCTGTCTGTGGGATACACCACTCAAGTAAGATGTGAGACGTCTTGGTACATTTACACTTTTCTCTCTACCTCTACTTAACCCTTCTTGTAAATTCTTTGTTGAAGCCACTAAGCTATTATGCTGTTTTCTTAGACAAGGAGCTTGGCACCCAACAATTATTAACATGCATCCCAGGAGGAGAAGGTACCGGTAACTATTCTCTTAGTTGCCTCATGCCACAGGTACCAGGCTTAGAACTCAGGTCAAATAAACACCCTGTGGCTTGATTGCACCAATTCCTCTTTCAGGGAGAGTGTAGTCAATTTTAGGAGCAGAATGTAAGAGAGGACATGGCCACCTTTTGGAACCATTAGCGTTCTACAGCTGATTAAGAGATAATTTTGACTCAGCCTCTGCTTCAACTCATTATTAATTTATTAATCTTGACAGGCAAGACAGATGTTGCATCATTGCTTTTACAGAATGGTGCTGACATTAATGCACAGACCAATGGAAAACAGACTGCGCTTCATTTTGCTGCCAGTGGAGTTGGCGGAACCTCAACTTTGCAGTTGTTGCTGTGCAACAGGTGGTTGGATGCTAGTCTTCTTAACATGCAGAATGAAACAGCATATGATATTGCTAAACGGAGTGGAAGGCACCATGAACTGTTTGAAATTGTTGAAGATTGTATAAATGTTAAATAAAAATTAAAATGTTTTTTCTTTCTTTTTGTTACCTGCCTTTGTTAACAATATTGATGAGGTGTGATTTTCGACCTAATGAGTATTTTAGCAAGTCTTACAAGCTATATACGCAGCATGGTTGTTGACCAAGCTTGTTTGGTCAAGGTGGCTGGATATTGGCCAAGTTCCTTTTTTGCATTTTTATGAGCTAAGACCACCCAAGCAAAACCAGGCCAATAGTCTAACCATCCTGACCAAACAATTTAATCTTCAAAGACTGATATTTTTCAAATGGCCAAAAATGATTTTTTTTCTTTTTGGAACAATCTGGGATTGGAGATCTCGGGTGATCTCGAAGAGTCAGTCAGAAGAGGGGATTTGCTTTATTTTGCCCGCATATGATAATATTATTTAGCTTAATTTGCCACATCTTTTTTCATTTCAAACCCCTCGACCATGCCCTTTCCCCATCTCCGTATCAAAAAAAATGATGCGAGGGGTAAGTCCTGGGTGTCTTGTGCCGTACACTTTAGGGTGTCATACACAGAATACTTATCGTTGATAAGTTGTTCGTGGGCTCAAACTCCTCTTCAATATGGCGGCTAATGTTCGTTCTTTGATCATTGACTTATTTGAAAGCCCCGATGGAACAGTTTATGCGGTTCTTATTGCCACGGTTATTGTCGTTCTGACTACAGGTTTGTGTTTTAAATATTCATAGTGTTTTGCCGACTGTTTGTAGTAGGGAACTGTTTACTTTGGTACGACATTGTCCTACGACTTACTTCTTTTGGTTTCTTTTTAAATTTGATGACGTGTTTGGCTGGCCATTAATTTAAAGCACAGAAAAATAAGCTATTTGGAAACTACCGTAAATCTCTAGTAAGCCCCCCGGGGGGGCTTATTTATTTCAAACACATTTGGGTTGGGCGGGCTTAATAGAGATGGGGGGTTGTTTGTTTTATTTTAATTTAAAAAAGACAATGGTATCAGTTCTCCATGAAGAACTAGAATACAAAGTGGAAAAGCTTGAAGGTCATGCAGCCGAGGATCAAAAACAATTCTGAACTTCCAGTTGGTGAATAAACCATCCTGGATCAGTCCACACAGAGTTTTACAGTCGTGATTGATTAATACAGGCTATCATTTATTAGTGAAGAGTAATAAATTTTTTCCCTAGAAAAGAAGGGGGGAATTATTAAAGAGGGGGCACTTAATAGAGGATTTACGGTAAATGGGTTAACTTTTGTTTTTTTGTTTTTTATTGAAAGTATTGGCAGGTTTGTGATATATCTAGTATGTTTGTTGCCTTTGTACAACAGCTGTGTGCAATGAAAAAATATATTTTACTTAAGTTATCAAAATTTTTGTCCTCACAGTGGAGGCTAGATTTTTTTGTATTTATTTTTTGTCAACTGGGAGTATAATGATAATACATTTTCCATTCTTCATTTTATTTCTAATCATTCTTTGGCAAAGCACAGGAGAAAAGACTAGCAAATTCATTCAATTTAATTGATGGTAGTAGACATACAACCACTGCTTACTTTGTCTTGATCTTTAAATAGTTCAAGACTGCTTGCTATTTCCTTAGCTATCTCTGTCCATTTAAAGCTGCCAAGTAATCCTGTGTTAGTGGCATTGAAAGTAATAATGTTTTCATTATTTTCTTTTCAGTCCTGTATCTTTTGTTTGGTAGAAGTCAATCAAGAGGCCGCAGCATCATCTTGGTTGGACTAACAGATTCAGGAAAAACACTTCTTTTCAGCAGAGTGAGCTAGTTTCCTGTTCTTTATGGGTCAACTGCTTTCTGCCCTTTTAAACGTTGTACTTACATGCATACAGTAGAACCCGGTTAACTCGAACTCTGAAGGGAAATGAAAAACACTTCAAGGTAGCAAGGGTTCGAGTAATCGGGGTTGACTGCAAAATTCAATTTTCAGTGTTAAAAATTTATAGTTACTGAATTGTCAGCACTTCTGGCAGTGTATGGTGCTATGTATACTGCAGTGAAAGTTTAACTTATTTTATCAAACGTGATTAGGCATTTTTTATGATAAAATGTGATCTGTTCGTTGCACCATTATTAAGTGTAAGTGTAAGTGTTAACTGGTGTTAGATGTAGTGTTTTTACTGATTTATACAACAAGAAGAGCTAATTGCCTTAATGGCATCCGGGTAGAGTTACAAGAACCAGAATTTGAGTTATCGGTGTAATTTTCAGTGACTTTTTTATCAAGGGAAAGGAAACTTACAGATGTAGTTTGATTTAGCACGGAATCCAAGTTATCCAAGCTCAAGTTAACCAAGTAAAAATGACAGAAAAGTGGGGTGAAATCCAAGGGAAATGGGACTTAGTTCAAGTTAGCGGGGAGTTCAAGTCATCCGAGTTCAAGTTATTGGGGTCCTTACTGTGTTACAAACTGTACTCAGCCCAGGATTGCGGGTGGCCTGTGAGATAGTTAACGTAACTGTCATCTATACTCAGGAAAGTGACAAAAGTTACATTATCTTTCGGATGGTACACTCGCAGGAACATAGCATCCATATGCACATGTGTGCGTGTGCATAAAGCTAAAACCTGGAAAAATCATTTGTTTATTTACTGAAAGCATTTTTATCATTAAATCAAGATGACTGATAAAACTGTATTTTATATTTTTTTTTAAGCTCTCTAGTGGAAAATATGTGATGACCCACACATCCATAAAAGAAAACAGAGCCCAACATAAGGTTAAAGGAAACCAGGTAATCCCTAAAAAAATTACTAACAGTAATATTATTGGTTTAATGATATTTACTTGAATTTTACATGTACAATCAATGCCCAATGACTAATTTTTTGTTGTCCTCTTTTAGCTCATTTTTCTACCTCAAAAAATGAATCATCAATAATCATCTTTTTCTTATGATTTAGGCTTTATTTGTTAAAATCTGAAGGTGTCATATTGTGCCTAAGAAGTCAGACATTCCTCTTTCCTCACCATTACCACAGCAAATGAAGCAAAACTAGATGGGAAAAATTTATGATTTGATTTTGACATAAATGATGGACGACCTTTGATATTAGTCCAAGGGTACCCAGTTAAATCACATAAGCTTGAAGGTTAGCATAGCTGTGGCTACAATGCATAGTGAAATCCCTTTTTAGTTTTAATCTATGAGGATTTATTTATTCATTTATTTACTGATACATTTTTACAACTGACATTTTTCATTACTATTCTATTCACAGAGTGGTAAAATTCTAGACTTGATAGATCTCCCAGGTCACGAGAAACTTAGAACAAGGTTTCTAGAACAGTACAAGGACCAAGCAAGGTCAGTAGTACCAGTAGACCAAGGACAGAGAGCCATAATCCACAACACCTGTTACAGCTGAGCTCTCATGGTGTGTTCAAAGTGGGAACCTAAGCGTTAAAAACAAGATCAGATAAACTTTGTCAAGGGCCCTGGAATAGGTTTTATTGGGATTGTTCTCCTCTGCCATTTTTGTTTGGTGGCCTGTTCCACTGAAAGAAAAGTTTGGCTGATTAATTTTTTCATCCAGCTCAGAAGTCAGTTGAAATGGCTTCACTAAACATTTACTATCACCAACCGAGCTTGCATCAGTTTTTGGTGCCCCTAAAGAAGTATTTTGGAATGAACTATACCCAGTTGCCAGCACAATCTAACCAAATAAGGAAACTAAACTAAAAGAAACTAGGCAAAGCAAGGAAAATAAATTCTGCATGGTTCAAACAGATTATCCCAGTCAACAGCCTGAAAAAACAGCTGACATTTTGCAATGCTATAACTGGCTTGCCCACAAAATGATATTTGAGAAAGGACTGCGGTAATTCCATACTGTTGACGTATCACTAGCCACATTTGGTTAGTGCTTCTGATTGCTCATGCAGCAAGGGAAACTTTCTTCAATCAATCTGAAGCCCTGTATCCAAACCTGGGTAGTACACATCATCAGTTTGGAATAACTGCAGTCATTCCTCAGAGGTCATTTCACACGGCAACCAGGGATGAGTACATTGTGAAATGTCATCTGTTTTCTAAGGCTACACAGTTGAAGGTCACCTTAGTTTCTTTACTCCTTTAGGTTGTAGTATGGAAACTAGAGAAGGAAACAGAATCATCACCAAAGTTAAATGTTACTGTCATGATTTTTGAGACAAATTACTCTCATTTGTGGTACATGAAATGTTTGGAAATTAGTGAGCTTTAAGTAGGGTTCTTTTCTTTGGTAATAGCACCATTAGAAAATCATGAGGTTTTTACTGCTTCAGTAAAATGTGACCTCAAACTGACTTGCATTTTATTAAATTAATAACTTTTCTTTTCCAGAGGAATCCTGTTTGTTGTTGATAGTGTGAACTTTCCAAGAGAGCAACGAGATGTTGCTGAGTAAGTACCCATCCAGTTGATAGTAACAGAGTAATATATAGAAGGACTATACTTTAATTTCAGTATACTCTAATACAGAGTTTTGGAGTCTCTCTTCAGATTAACTGTCTGGTTACATAAAGGCCTGAGCATTTTCAATTTCGGACTGTTATTTTTTTTCTTTAACTGAGATCTATTGGTTCTGGACTGGGACTGAACTCACAAGATGAGTCCCAGGACTCACCATAACAGTTTGTAACAAAATCACTGCTAGTTATTTCCCATTGATGTATGTCTTCGAGATAGTTAACTGTACATATAATAAACATTTTAAAGTAATAGTGTACCCTGCTCGCACCCTCATTTCTAGAGTTCCCTTCCACTCAACCCACAGAGCGAGAGAGAGTAACAAGTAGGAGTGTACCCTGGGATTAAGGTTGCCCCGCTCGCAGAGGTTTCTTTCAGGCATGGTTTTTAGCATGTACAAAGTAGTTTTCTCTGCTGTTATTCGAGTTACGTAAAAGAAGCCAACTACGCGAATCACACAGGGACACCTAACAACGTTTTTTCTTTAAAATAACTGTTCGAAGGAGCAAATACGACCTGGAAATTTCTAAAGATCGAGAAAGGCTGAAAATTTATGGATAACCATTTCATTCGTCAGATATTTGGAGTTTTTCCGCAAACTTACCCACGATTTTCCGATGTTGTGTTTTTCACATTTTATTACCTTGTAGATATTTCGATTACTGTTAAGAAAATTTCGGCATAAAGACAAAATGTACCCTACGATTTTTATCATGAAAGCATGGCTACCCCATGTTCTCAGAATTTCGACCCCACCCATCAGGCTACTGCAGCCAAAGGTTTAGAGACGCAAAAGCCACTTTCGAGACGACAAAAGTTCCCCAAAGACATTTGAAGAGATAACCAGTTTTTAAGGCAATTCCAAATTATCCAAAAAAGCTTCTTAAGCATAGAGAATACTTTATGAGACACTTGTCGTTGGATGCCCCTGACATGAATAACTTCGTATGTGCTAAAACCATGCCAGAAAGAAACCACTGCTAAGAGGGTAAAGAAATGGTAGACTTTCCATTGGTTTTTTCAGGGTCATGTATGACATTCTTGGTGATAAGCGGTTTTCCAAGTCTGCGGTATCAATTCTGGTCGTTTGCAATAAACAAGGTTAGTTCTCGACAGAAAATTTCAACATAATTAAGACGTTTTCTGGCTGATAACTTTGTTCTTGTGTCAAATGTTTACTTTATCAAACTTGTGTTAGAAGTTATATTCTGTTGTTTCACCAAATGAATTTTTTTCACCCGTGTTTTCATTGGTTTGATCACGTATGTTTTTCTCTTCAGACCTTACAACGGCCAAATCACAAAGTGTTATAAAGTCTCAGCTGGAAAAAGAAATGTGAGTAGTGCTTAAAAATTTTACTTTGATTTTTTTTCAGTAACTTTACTGGTGTTATGGTTCAAAGTTTTGCGTTTGTGGATACATTTTTGAGCTGTGACCATTCAAATGAAAACTGTTGAGTGGTACTTTCTTGAGAAATTGTTTTCTATGCTTTGTATATGGTGGACCTAACAATTCCGATTAGACGGTCTTTCTCTAACCACTGGATTTACAACTCGGATCATTTTTTTTCCCGTGAAAAGGGGGGGGGGGCTATTAAAGAGGGGGTGCTTAACAGAGGATTTACAGTAAATAAGTTAATTTTTGTTTTTTTGTTTTTTATTGAAAGCATTTGCAGGTTTGTGATGTATCTGGTACGTTTGTTGCCTTTGTACAACAGCTGTGTGCAATAAAAAATATATATTTTACTTAAGTTATCAAAATTTTTCTCCTCATAGTGTAGGCTAGATTTTTTTTGTGTTTCTTTTTCGGTCACTCTTGGAGTATAATGTTATTACATTTTCCATTCTTCATTTTATTTCTAATCATTCCTTGGCAAAGCACAGAAGAAAAGACTAGCAAATCCATTCAATCTGATTGGTGGTAGTAGACATACAACCTCTGCTTACTTTGTCTTGATCTATAAATAGTGCAAGACTGCTTGCTATTTCCTTAGCTATCTCCGTACATTTAAAGCTGCCAAGTAATCCTGTGATAGTGGCATTGAAAGTAATAATGTTTTCATTATTTTCTTTTCAGTCCTGTATCTTTTGTTTGGTAGAAGTCAATCAAGAGGCCGCAGTATCATCTTGGTTGGACTAACAGATTCAGGAAAAACACTTCTTTTCAGCAGAGTGAGCTAGTTTCCTTGTTCTTTATGGGTGAACTGCTTTCTGCCCAGCTTTTAAACATTATTCTTACATGCATACAGTAGAACCCCTGTAACTCGAACTCTGAACGGAAATGAAAAACAGTTCCAGTTAGCAAGGGTTCAAGTAATCGGGGACCGGGGGTTCATTGCAAAATTCAATTTTCAGTGTTGAAAATTTATAGCTACTGAATTTTCAGCACTTCTGGCAGTGTATAGTGCTACTGCAGTGCCATTAAGTTTAACTTATTTTATCAGTAACGGTAACATGATTAGGCATTTTTTATGATAAAATGTGATCTGTTCATTGCACCATTGGGTTATTCCAGAAAAAATCCACACCCCCCCGACGGATGGGGTCCTTTTTTAACCCCCCCTCTCACCTGGATTTCCTGAAGCACAAGACCCCCCCTCCCAACTGGATTTCCAAGGTGGAAGACCCCCCCTCCCGCCTGGATTTCCGGGAAAAAAATAAAAGGCTTAAATTTAATTTATTTTTAATGGAAAATACACGCAAACACGTCTAAATGTTTTTGTTTTAATTTCTAAAGCTTCAGCTTATATTAAACTAAGAATTCTATCGCGTGGAACTAAAAACGAAAGGAGCAAAAAACAAAAATGCGAACGACACCTGAACGAGTGTTTACATAATTTCTTAGCTTATAAAAATCAGTGACCTTTTTCTTTCTTTGCGCTAAATATGAATATCCATTCCTTTACGAGACATAAGGCAGCCGGCAGCATGCGTGTCAGTCTCGTCCACTGAAGATCGAGATTTTGTAACTGTTGTAAATCAACGAAATCTTTCAAAGAACGAAAGTCTACATTTGTTAATCGTTACAATTATTTTCTAACTTAAAGAATGGATGACTTCATTTGCACATCCTACCTTCAAGATCTGTAGTTCTACTGTGCACTGGAAGGGAAGTTCAAATTCGCGTTATAAACAGCTTTCTTAGTCGGCCATAGTTACAAAGGTCGTTTCGCTTTCGTTTAAATCGGAGAGGCAACAGTCATGCTGAAGAGAATGCAGCCAAGACAAAAGCACTTGAAATAGCTCCCATTCATGAAATGAAATTTTAACATGTTCATCCAACGAATTATTTTAAAACCGGATTAAGATGGCTTTCAGATTCATCCAAATACAAAGTCCGCTATGAACAAATTCTTCACCAGGCTCTTGCAGATTTGGCGCCTGTTTGTTTTGTTCTCTCTACAGTTATTTGTTAGTGAAAGTTTAGTTTTTGTTCAGCGGTAGAAATTATACGAACTTGATAAAAATATGTTCAGTTTATGATTTTTGACGATCGATATCTTTCTAATTGGCATCAGAAATATGAATTTAACACGTTGATTTTGTAAGCCAGCGCGAGCGGCGAGCACAGCACAAAAGAGTATCTTGGCTGCAGTTATTCACTAGCGAAAGTGTTGTTTTTGTTTATAAATAGAATAGTTTTGATTTAAAATTCTTTACAGTACAAAATTGATCAAATTTTCAAGGTAATTTCGTACCCACAGAGATATTGGGAACATAGTTGTAAAAAAAAAGAGACTGATTTTTATAGTAACACTATTTTATACATGTTTGTTGCACCATATATTTGCAAATAAACTCGTTCTTGTAGTTAAATGTTCACTTTTTTTCTGGTAAAGGTAAATACGAAATAAATTGTGGCTGTAAGTAATAAGCATCTGTTAAAGCAGAAGCTAGTACGGCAGCAGAGGTCTCGGAGGGGTCAAATACACAAACCTGAGGGAAATTATTTAGCCAGAAAAACAAACCTTGCAACAAAGACACTGGAATTTGACGTTTTTCTTTCAAGGACTTTTTAAATATTTGAAAAAGAGGCAAACTAGGCTGATAATTTAAAAAGTAAACCTTAAAAAATACAAAGTGCGAATGCGTGAACGTGAATCAGTTGTTTTTTTTATTTTTATTTACACCAAACAACCGAGATTTCAAAGTTATACACTGTGGCGCGCAGGCTCTGGGTACGAGTAGAAATGTGTCAGGCGTTTCACGCTCTTCGCGCGCGGGCTCTGGGTACGAGTAGAAATGTGTCAGGCGTTTGACGCTCTTCGTGACAACAACGTTGCGACGAGTTCCTTCAGGCCCGTTCTTTAGTATCTTGTTCGCGTTTTCTGCTATAAAAGGACCTGTAAAGCAACTTAGATTATCATTTATGTCAGGTGAGAAATATATGAACAAAACATTTTGACTATTTTCAGGGTCTGAAAGCGCTTAAGTGTCATCGAACTAAACGTTTGATTTGTATCAACTATCGGTCGAAATGACCCCTGCAGAAGACTGTTTTAAGGTCAACCCCCCCTCCCGCCTGGATTTCCGGAGTCTTCAACCCCCCCTCCCGCGAGAATTTCCAGAATCCCATCCGTCGGGGGGGTGTGGATTTTTTCTGGAACAACCCATTATTAAAATCAAATTGCTGTAAGTGTTAACCAGTGTTAGATGTAGTGTTTTTACTGATTTATACAACAAGAAGAGTTAATTGCCTTAATAGCATCCGAGTAGAATTACAAGAACTAGAATTTGAGTTATTGGTGTAATTTTCAGTGACTTTGTTATCAAGGGAAAGGAAATTTTGATTGAGTTAGAGGGGAATTCGAGTTATCCAAGCTTGAGTTAACCGAGGAAAAGTGGGGTGAAATCCAAGGAAAATGGGACTTTGTTCAAGTTAGTGGAGAGTTCGAGTCATCTGAGTTCAAGTTATTGGGGTCCTTACTGTGTTACAAACTGTACTCAGCCCAGGTTGGCAGGTGGCCTGTGAGATAATTAACATAACTGGCAGCTGTATGCAGGAAAGTGGCAATAGTTACATTATCTCTCGGATGGTACACGCAGGAACATAGCATTCATATGCACATGTGCACCTGTGCATAAAGCTAAAACCTGGAAAAAATCATTTGTTTATTTACTGAAAGCATTTTTATCATTAAATCAGGATGACTGATAAACCTGTATTTTATATATTTTTTTAAGCTCTCTAGTGGAAAATATGTGATGACCCACACATCCATAAAAGAAAACAGAGATCAACATAAGGTTAAAGGAAACCAGGTAATCCCTAAAAAAATGACTAACAGTAATATTATTGGTTTAATGATATTTACTTGAATTTAACATGTACAATCAATGCCCAATGACTAATATTTTGTTCTCTTCTTTTAGCTCATTTTTCTACCTCAAAAAATGAATCATCAATAATCATCTTTTTTCTTATGATTTGAGCTTTATTTGTTAAAATCTGAAGGTGTCATATTGTGCCTAAGAAGTCAGACATTCCTCTTTCCTCACCATACCACAGCAAATGAAGCAAAACTAGATGGGAAAAATTTATCATTTGATTTTGACATAAATGATGGACGACCTTTGATATTAGTCCTACGGTACCCAGTTAAATCATATAAGCTTAAAGGTTAGCATAGCTGTGGCTAAAATGCATAGTAAAATCCCTTTTTAGTTTTAATCTATGAGGAAAAGTTTATTTATTCATTTATTTATTGATACATTTGTAAAACTGACATTTTTCATTATTATTCTATTCTCAGAGTGGTAAAATTCTAGACTTGATAGATCTCCCAGGTCACGAGAAACTTAGAACAAGGTTTCTAGAACAATACAAGGACCAAGCAAGGTCAGTAGTACCAGTAGCCAAGGACAGAGAGCCATAATCCACAACACCTGTTACAGCTGAGCTCTCATGGTGTGTTCAAAGCGGGAAACTAAGAAGAGTTAAAAACAAGATAAACTTTGTCAAGGGCCGTGGAATAGGTGTTATTGGGATTGTTCTCCTCTGCCATTTTTGTTTGGTGGCCTGTTCCTTGGAAAGAAAAGTTTGGCTGATTAATTATTTCATCCAGCTCCGAAGTCAGTTGAAATGGCTTCACTCAACTGTTAAGATCACCAACCAAGTTTTTAGTGCACCTAGTGAAGTGTTTTGGAATGAACTATACCCAGTTGCAAGCACAGTCTAACCAAATAAGGAAACTAAACTAAAAGAAACTAGGCAAAGCAAGGAAAATAAATTCTGCTTGGTTTAAACAGATTATCCCAGTCAACAGCCTGAAAAAACAGCTGACATTTTGCAATGCTATCACTCGCTTCCCATGAAATGATATTTGAGAAAGGACTGCTGTAATTCCCTACTGTTGACAAGTCACTACCCACATCTGGGTAGTTCTTCTGATTGGTCATGCAGCAGGGGAAACTTTCTTCAATCAATCAGAAGTCCTATCAAGACAACCCTCCAAGTTGCAACCGTTTTAGCCGCTATGGTGCCTAAAATTTTGAAACTGGTGACTTGATTTGTAAAAAAAGTCTCCCTAAACCAAAAGAATCAGTCGCCAAATGGCAACCAACCAAAAACTTTAACTTGGAGGGTTGCCAGACCTGGGTAGTAACATCATCAGTTTGGAATTTCCGCAGTCATTCCTCAGAGGTCGTTTCTCAGGGCAACCAGGGGTAAGTACGTGTGAAATGTCAGCTGTTTTCTAGGGCTACCCAGTCAAAGGTCAGCTTAGTTTCATAACTCCTTCAGGTTGTAGTATGGAAAGAGAAGGAAACAGGATCATCACCAAATTTTAATATTACCGTCATGATTTTTGAGACAAATTACTCTCATTAGTGGTACATGAAATGTATGGAAATTAGTGAGCTTTAATTAGGGCTAACTTCTATGGTAATAACACCATTAGAAAATCATGAGGTTTTTACTGCTTCAGTAAAATATGACCTCAAACTGGCACATTCTAGTTGCATTTTATTAAATTAATAACTGTTCTTTTCCAGAGGAATCCTGTTTGTTGTTGATAGTGTGAACTTTCCAAGAGAGCAACGAGATGTTGCTGAGTAAGTACCCCTCCAGTTGATGGTAACAAAATAATATATAGAAGGACTATATTGTAATTTCAGTACACTCTAATACAGAATTTTGGAGTCTCTCTTCAAATTAACTGTCTGGTTACATAAAGGCCTAACCATTTTCAATTTTGGACTGTACATTTTTTTCTTTCCCTGGGATTTATTGGTTCTGGACTGGGACTCATGACTTTTCACAAGATGAGTCCCAGGACTCAACATAACTGTTTGTAACAAAATCACTGCTAGTGATTTCCCATTGATGTATGTCTTAGAGATAGTTTACTGTACATATAATTTTAAAGTAATATGGTACCCTGCTCGCACCCTCATTTCTAGAGTTCCCTCCCACTCGACCCACAGAGCGAGAGAGAGAGTAACAAGTAGGAGCATACCCTGGGATTAAGGTTGCCCTTCTCGCAGGCATGGTTTCTAGCATGTACGAAGTAGTTTTCCCTGCTGTTATTCGAGTCACACAGGGACACCTAACAACTTTTTTTCTTTAAAAAAAACTGTTCGAAGGAGCAAATACTGCCTGAAAATTTCTAAAGGTCGAGAAAGGCTGAAAATTTATGGATAACCATTCCATTCGTCAGATATTTGGAGTTTTTCCGCAAACTTACCCACGATTTTCCGATTTTGTGTTTTTCACATTTTATTACCTTGTAGATATTTCGATTACTGTTAAGAAAATTTCGGCATAAAGACAAAATGTACCCTACGATTTTTATCATGAAAGCATGGCTACCCCGTGTCCTCAGAATTTCGACCCCACCCATCAGGCTACTGCAGCCAAAGGTTTAGAGACGCAACAGCCACTTTCGAGACGACAAAAGTTCCCCTAAGACATTTGAAGAGATAACCAGTTTTTAGGGCAATTCCAAATTATCCAAAAAAGCTTCTTAAGCATAGAGAATACTTTATGAGACACTTGTCGTTGGATGCCCCTGACATGAATAACTTCGTATGTGCTAAAACCATGCCAGAAAGAAACCACTGCTAAGAGGGTAAAGAAATGGTAGACTTTCCATTGGTTTTTTCAGGGTCATGTATGACATTCTTGGTGATAAGCGGTTTTCCAAGTCTGCGGTATCAATTCTGGTCGTTTGCAATAAACAAGGTTAGTTCTCGACAGAAAATTTCAACATAATTAAGACGTTTTCTGGCTGATAACTTTGTTCTTGTGTCAAATGTTTACTTTATCAAACTTGTGTTAGAAGTTATATTCTGTTGTTTCACCAAATGAATTTTTTTCACCCGTGTTTTCATTGGTTTGATCACGTATGTTTTTCTCTTCAGACCTTACAACGGCCAAATCACAAAGTGTTATAAAGTCTCAGCTGGAAAAAGAAATGTAAGTAGTGCTTAAAAATTTTACTTTGATTTTTTTTCAGTAACTTTACTGGTGTTATGGTTCAAAGTTTTGCGTTTGTGGATACATTTTTGAGCTGTGACCATTCAAATGAAAACTGTTGAGTGGTACTTTCTTGAGAAATTGTTTTCTATGCTTTGTATATGGTGGACCTAACAATTCCGATTAGACGGTCTTTCTCTAACCACTGGATTTACAACTCGGATCATTTGAAACCAATTCATAATGTCTGCGGCAGTTGTTTAAACTCATTTTGGTCTTGTAAGTGTACTCGATTACAACTGAGAAATGCCTTTTAAAATGCGGTATGCTAAAACGTCTGTGAATTTGGGGCGAGGGGAACTAAAAAGTAGTCGGTTGCTTCGTTTTATCAAACAGTGTCTTGTATTAGTTCCAGTTGAGTGTATACTTTTTAAAATCCATTCTTGTGATTATGTTTCTAGTAACACTCTCCGAGTCACTCGAGCCGCTGCCCTGCAAGGTCAAGATGGCGGCTCAACCACTACCGCTGGGTATGTCGGGAAGAAAGGCAAGGATTTTGAGTTTGGTCACGTGTTACCCATCCAGGTGGAGTTCGCCGAGTGTAGTGCCAAAGGACAAGCGGAGGGAGAGGCTGATTTAGATGCAGTGGAAAAATGGCTTGAAAAGATTGCTTGAAAACTGACATCGCTATGTGCAGGAAATCAAAAATATTGTGAAAGAGGAGAAATAAAGTCTACTTTAAATTATTAGATTTGCTATCTTCCCTCCCACACTTTCCGCCACCTGAGTCGAAAACTTGTTCACTTGCAAGAAAAT